CAAAAACAAAAACAAAAATATCTTAGGCAGTCTATATCCAATCCTGCTCCATCACCAATCACCTCTGCTCTTGATCAAATCAACCTGAAAAGCAAGACCAGCATAGCAGCTACCTACTTGTGAAACAGTCAGCAAAGCCTAGGACAGAGTGAACACAGTGACTGTTAGCTGTTGTCCAAATTTCTAACCTCCAAGAACTACAGAGCTCCCACCTTCTGCTGACTCTCCTCTGATTATCTCACCTGCCCACTGAATGGAATCCTATTATGTATTAATTCTGCACCCACTTTATTTGGTATAGACATATCTCCACTCATTTACTAGTCCAAAGTCATGGCTTTCATTGTTGTGTGTACAACTATATAAAATAGTTTCACCATAAATCAGGTTATGCCTAGTCTAAGTCATGGTGGATCAAATATCTTCATCTATGAATTTTGTAACTTTGCTTACTTTATTAATATAAAGTCTCCAAATTAGAAATGCTGGATCGAAGAAAGCACATCAAAGAATTACAGTATTAAAGGATCCTGTTTTGCCAACTTTCACATTTTCAAAGGTTGTAAAGATTACATCCTGTCAACAGTGACCCAGGATGCCCATCAGACATAATTTTTTGCCAGTTTCTGTTGAGTGTTATGAAACTTTTCATCTGCCTACTCTATTATCTTGCTACCTAGATCTCAGTCTTGGGCAGCTGCTGTGGTCATCTGCTTCTCTGTCTCTGCCACGGAACTCTGCCTGGCATCACTCACATAGCACCAGAGTGAATGAATGAATTGCCATCTTCTACTTTTCTCTCTGGGATTAAGAGCTAGATGAAGCACTTAAGTGTTAAGGCCTTGTCCTCAGTCTTCCAGGCTGGGCAGGAAAAGACTGAATCACAGATTGTTGGCTAGTGCTCAAGGGGTACACAAGGGAACAGGTCTGAGAAAGAAAATGAACTGACCCAATCAGCTCTGACACATGTTTGAAGTGGACTTTCTGCACTGCCGTCTGTTCCTCTTTCTGGGTGTGGAGAGGGTGGGATCCAATTTACAACTCAGCCATGTAGCAGAGTGAGTGGAATTTTCCAGATGTTTCCAGTTCTTGCTGCTTGGCAGACTTACAACTTTGCCTTCTGGGAGCTGTTAGGCTGCAAGCCCCAAAGCTTCGCCGGCTGCTCAGCAGGTCAGGTTGTGGGAACTCTGTTTTGGTTGGCACAAACTCGAAGGATTCCACACTGTGCTTGCTTTCCCTGTGCTAGCGTCCTAGTAAACATGTTGACCAATGGGGCTAAAGTTAGGAAGGTGTTGCAGCCCTCCCATCAACGCACAAGGGCACACCCATCCTGGACACAGATTCCCTGGCAACAGGAACCTCTCTGACTGCCAGAGTCTGGAGGGATCTGCTGAGAAGAACACACTGCTTCGAATTCCCCCAAGTCTCCAGATCCACTATGAAGAGAAGTTGTTCGGATTGCCTTCCTCACCCGACCAACAGCTTCTCCTTTCAGGGACAGTTCATGTTCTGTGGTCAGGGGTGTCCAACCACTGGCCACATGCAGCCCAGGAGGACTATGCACATACCCCAACACAACATTATAAACTCACTATAAACATTGTGGGGACTTTTGTGTATGTGACTTTTAAAAAACTTGATTGTGCTGTTCTTGAGTATGAACCCTGCAGATGACAATACAGATGTCAAAGGTTGGGCACCCTGGCAGTGTGAATGTTCTCATGGATCGGGGCATCTGGGCACATGCTCACCATCTTGTGTTAGTTTTATCTTCCCACTTGTGGACTGAGCACTAATCACGCTCTGCTCACTAAAAGCAGTTCTCCCAAGAGGCAGGTAAAGCCTAGTGGTACAACTGTACCGGCACACATTCCCATGGAAGAGAGGACCTTTCCCCACTATAATGGGCCAGTTGATTTCTCTAATGTCTGTGGCCTTCAAAGACTTTACATTTTAGAGTCTCCTCTCTTCAAAGCCACAGTTTCTTTAACTTCCACATTGGAAGCTTTCTTCCAATTACCTATCATTGGGACTGGAGAGATGGCTCAGTTGTTAAGAGTGCTAGATGCTCTTCTGGAAGACCAGGGTTCAATTCCCAGCACCCACATAGCAGATCACAACTCTCTGTAACTCCAGTTCCAAGAGATCTGGCTTCCAGGGCATATACATGGTACACAGAAATATGTACAGGCAAAATAGTCACATACATAGACTAAAAATAAATCAATTTTTTTTTACAAACAGGCTCATTATTATGAGAAATGAAGACACTCCTTCCCCCCAAAACATACACTACTGAAGACTCAGAGTAGCAAAAGTGATAGTTTATTTTATAACTTTGCAAAGCTGGCTGCCTCCAACAAATAAAACTGGCAGGGTATTCCAAAGGAGTGTAGAGAACAGTTCTTAAAGCCATGAACACTGGTCCCTCCCAGCATTTCTCACCGTCTGAGCAATCGGGGGTGGGCAATCCTTGTTATCTGCCCCTTGCATTTTTTCCTAATTCTCAATAAAGTCCTACTGGGTTTATCTCTGTGTTTTACATCCCATTTATTTTAATTCTTGTTAGACACATGAACTTGTTATATCTGTGGGTTGTTAGGCAAGCTTGGTTATTAATAATTTTTTACTCTAAATTTCTGATTTAAGCAGGGGTGTCTAGACTGGCAAACATTAGCAGGGGCCTGGTGTTTTCATCTATAACTAAACCTAAGTAGGACTCGAGGCACTTTTGAAAATCAACCATTACAAACCAGGCATGGTGGCCCATGCCTGTAATCCCAGCACTCAGGGAGGCAGAGGCAGGTGGATCTCTATGAGTTTGAGGCCAATCTGGTCTACAGAGTGAGTCCACGATAGCCACAACTCTGTTACACAGAGAAACTCCATCTCAAAATAAATAAATAAAATAAAAAGAAAGAAAATCAACCATTACTTTAGGTTTTATTTCACTATGACAGATAAGATGGATCTCCAAGCCAGCACAAGGGTACAGAGTCTAACAAAGGTCAAATTCTGATTCCCTTGAAGTTAGAACTTTGTTGATTGAAGCTTGGCTGTAGAAACAAGTCATATATGGAAGGAGACAGGGCAAAGGGTGTCTCTTGTCTGTGCGGACTGTGTCTCAGGTTCTGGAGTTGCCAGCTGTAGCAATGGCTTCTCAGTTTAGCAAGCAGCTTCCTGACCCAGGAGCAACCTTGGCTGTCTAGCTCTAGAACATGGATATTGGGAGATATTTCTGGGACAATCTAAACTCTTTAGCCAGCTGTCTCCACTCCTCCATTTAATCAATGCCTGGTAAGCCAGCTGATATAATCGTATGGTTGCAAAGCTGTGATTTTTCATACTTTGTTCGGATTTTCTCATTTTCCCTATGCATTTTTCTCTAAAGCTTGCTTTGAACTATCCAGTTCCATTTTATCAACTTTTCCATACATTGGTGGATGGCTTTGTACTGAACTCTCTTCTAGGGTTACATTGGAAGTTTCCCCTGGAATAATGGTGAGTCCAATATTAAAAGAGACAGTTTTGCTGAGCATGGTGGTGTGTGCCTGTAATCCCAGCAGATAGAAGGTAGAGACAGGAGGATCAAGAGTTCAAAGTCACCCTCAGCTACATAACACTTCAAACAACACATTTGAAGCCAGGCTGGAAATGTGAGACCTGTTTCTGAAAATTTGTTTTAAATGTTTCCATTGTTGTGAACCTAGTTAACTGGAACTGTTCAATGTGTCAATTCATGGAATGTATATATTGCCTCTCCATTAATAAGCATATAACACGGAATATATTTGTACTGGAGCTTACAACAGGCACACAAAAGGCTGGGGAAAACATTGTTATTTTCAGCATCAGTATTGTGATTTTCATCCAAAAGCTATGCAGTGTCTATATGTCACATCTTGCATATTTCTTAACATCTGCAAGTTAACTAAATCACTGTTGTCAGATTTTATCATTATGGTGTCATGTCGTATCTTTTCTCTTTTCTTTCTTTCTTGTTTGTTTTTTTATTAATTATTTTTATTAATTGGTTTATTCACTTTGTATCCCCCTGTACCTCCCTCCCTCCTATCCTCCCAATCTCACCCTCCCTCTTCCCCACCCGTGGCCCTCTCCCAGTCTACTGAGAAGGGAGGTCCTCCTCCCCTTCCCTCTGACACTAGTCAGTTGAGGAATGGATACAGAAATTGTGGTACACCTACACAATGGAATATTACTCAGCAAAAAAAAAAAAAAAAAAAAAAAAAAACAAGGAAATCATGAAATTTGCAGGTAAATGGTGGGAACTGGAAAAGATCATCCTGAGTGAGGTATCCCAGAAGCAAAAAGACACACGGGGTATATACTCACTCATAAGTGGATACTAGACATATAATATAAGATAAACAAACTAAAATCTGTACACCTAAAGAAGCTGATCAGGTAGGAGGGGTCTGGCTAAGATGCTCTTGTTTGTTTTTTGAAACAGGGTTTCTCTATATAGCCCAAGCTGTCCTGAAACTCACTCTGTGGACCAGGCTGGCCTCAAACTCAGAGATCCTCTTGCCTCTGCCTCCCAAGTGCTGGGATCAAAGGCGCATGCCAACCCTATGAGCTTTGGCTCATTTTCTGATGGGCTTATTTTGACTCTAGATTTTGCTGTAGTTTTTGCAGTGAGAAAATGGATTTAGACATCATGAGCATCCAAGGTCCTAGCTAAAAAGGCACTCATTTAGTGGGATAAAACTACATTGAGGAATTACAGAATTAAAGTATGTTCTTGAAAAGGCCTCTTATAACACTTTGAATTTTGGTCCTTCACTTAGGCATAGTTTCAAGAGCAAACAGAAAAGTCAGGCTCCAAGCTGGAATGAAGAGTGTATTCTCATTTCGTTGGTCCTAAGGAAAGCCCTGCTGTATGCTGAGTGTCCCAGGCTATACTCACTCTTCCTGAACCAAAGAAGCAGGAAGCAAGCATTTCAGAAGGAGCAACAAACACACCAGCTCAAATTCAGAACTTAAAAAAAAAAGGGACTTTATTGAGGGCAGCAGGATGCAAACAGTATAAAACTCAAAAGCTTCTCCGTCACTGAATTAACTTTTCTTTCTCTGCTTGTCGAATTGAGTTGGATGTTATTTGCACATTTCTTAAGGGTCCCGATCTGCTCACAAGAAGTAGCGGGACAGATTCCTCAAGTGATGCTGTAGGAGAGCATGCATCAGGGAGGGAGCGTCAGTGCTCCACTCGGCCTACTTCTTCCCCTTCTGCTTCATGTGTACTACAAAATAGTCATTGCACGCAATGATGAGACCTGCAACTAGCGATAAAAAGCTCTGGAAGCCCACTCTGCCATCTCGGCACTGGTCCAGGTCCTTCATTATTTTGTCCACAGCCAGAGGATCCTTTTGATTCTAGAGAAAAAAAAATCAAAAAGAAAGAACAAAGGCAGACAAACAGTTAATGGTGTAGGCAACTATTATCTTATCTGATTCAAACCGCTGACAACCATGTGCAGAAGCACAGTCTTTCAAGTCTCTTGTGAGTCATCATCAGCATATTTTTTTGTTCTTTTTTTTTTTTTTGGTATTTCTCGGGAATGCATTTTTCAGTAACTTCATATTTAGATTGTGCTTAAACCACACTCACCATTTTCTACTTCAAACTTAGATGAAAAAAAAAAAAAGCAAATTTTCATTCCTGACACCATAGTCAGATCCTTAAAAAGGGAACTCTTCATGAAGAAAGTGCCTCAGATCACTCAGATAGTAAGTGTTGGGTCACTGTTTTATCAGTTCTCAGCAGGTGCCAACGAGGACACTGTTTTCACTTTAAAGAAGATGCAGAGAGCTCTCTTTTCTCCTTTCACAGCTGGGGTCAAGCCAGCATGCTGGCATAGCTATGTAGCCTGAGTCCATCACACAGTTTAGTTTGTCTTCAGGTTTCAAGTACAAACTGAGGGGTTTGGGTGAGTGCCCTCTCTAGCATTTCTTCCACTCTTCATGAACAAAAATGCTAGCCACACACTCCACCCTCTTTCCATTGTTCCAGTGGGTAAACCTATGTCATCTTAAGCTCATCATGGATGTTATATATTAGAACAAGTGTGCGTGGCTGGGAGGGTGACTCAGTGGGTAAGGCGCCAGCAGGAGAACCTGAGTTTGCATCCGTAGCGCCCACATAGAAGCTAATGCAGTGGTGCACTCCCAGAATCCCAGCAACAAAGAGGCAGAAACAGAAAGATTCCCCAGGCTTACTGGCCAGACAGTCTAGCCAAATCGGTCAGCTCCAGGTTCAGTCAGAGACCTTATTTCAAGTGTGACAGACCGGTGAGATAGCTCAGTGGAAGGGTGCTGGCTACTGTCTCATGACCTAAGCTAGGTCCCTGTAGCCCACATGATGGAAGGGGCCCACCTACTTCCCCAAGTTCTTCTCTGACCTCCACATGCATACTATGGCACACACAGAGACACACACAAAAGTTAATGCAAAGAGTGATTTAGGGATGATACTTAACATCAAACTTTGGCCTTTACACACACACACCTACATACACACTCAAAGTGAGTATGTATGATAGAATCATAAACTCCTTAACACATAGCATGAGTGTGTGGGTCAGAGACAGACAGGCAGATGCCCTGACTCTCACCCGTTTCAACGATGATTAGCTTGATTATTCCTTTTGCTGCTACAGTGGTTAGATGTGCAAAAGTGTGGTTACACCTATAGGTCCACGCTATCTCCAAGAAGGAAGTGACCTCTAATGCAATAGTGGCTGTTAAAGGGACGAAGAAGTTATGAATTCCAGTGACCTCATAATTAGTGGGGGAACAGACTGACATGCCATCTTTTAAGTGTGCCAGATGCTTAGAAACTGCAGTCAGAGATCTCTTACGGTAACAGAGTCACACTGTCTGCCTGAGACTGCACACTTCTACCCTTGGCTATCAACCGAAATCTGCTCTACATAGCTAACTCTGGCCTCACCCCCAGCTTCCTGGCTGTGGTCAGAACGAGTGAAGTGTGGATGACATAAGCCATCCACTTTAGAGGCAAACACTGTTAAGGCAGTGAGCACAGGTCTAGAATCATGACCCGGCCTGTGCTACTCTGCCGTGTTCGGCACACCCCCTGTACACATCCTTTATGTTTCTCATGTCACAAAGCCTTGCGAGTGGGAGGGTCTGTGTCTTAGGCCACCCATGATTCATGAGTATTTTCACATTGACAATGCCACCATCGATGTGATGGGCTGGCTTAAAATGAGCACATTTTGTTCTTGCGTTTTCTGTCCGTCTAGAAAGATCATAACAAGTTAAAAATGGGCATGTGAACAACTATGTCCAACCCTCTCATTTGAGAGAGGAGGTGACCAGAAATAGAGAGTGGAAGCCACTCACCATTGTTGGTCTTCTGAGCCCTTCTCTGAGACTGCAGCGCCAGTCTATGTCAGCCTATGTCAGCAAAGAACGAGCTCACTGAGAGAGCACTGGGGTGACTGTAGCTTAATAGGAGGAGCCAGGCCACTTATTTAACTGATATTGATGATGTGTGAAAACAGTCCCCTGCAAAGCTCTCTGTTTATTTGTACAAGAGCCAGGGCCTTAGATAATGTGCTATTTGTCAGGCAGTTGACAAGTTGGAGGGATTCAGCCTTTTACCATCACTTCAGGAGTGACACTTTGCTCTTATTCAGCCAACAATTAACATGATCCCTTTATGGGTTAGAGTTGGGAAAAGAATAAAAATTCTTTTTGTCCAAAGGGATTTAAGATTTGAGTAGAGGGGAGCACATGCTTTGCATGAACGAGTCCCTGGTCTCAACCTGTAGCTCACTTCTATACATAATGGACATTCAAGTTGTTCTAAGTGACATATGACAAGAATATGGAACCTCCATCACAAGGGCTATAGAACGGAGTTGCAGCATCCCCTGATCCATTACACCCTTGTGAAAAGCCTGTGTCATGCCAGTGGGTGTGGATATTTTCACTTGCAGACTGAGAGCTCTTTGAGAGAAGGGGTGGAGTCTTTTCTACTCTGCTACCCTGACATCTTAACACAGAGTAGGTACTGTCTATTAAGTAAATGGATGAAACTCTTCCAAGTGGTGAATCTACAGGGAAAGGATGGAAGAAGAAGGAGGGACACTTTGATTTTTATGTCAGGTTCTATAAGTTTCAACACTTACTTCCAAAAACCCAGGGAACTCCCTTTCCATGAGCACTCTCAGGTCCTCCTTTGTCAAATAGTCTTTGTCCCCCGCAAATCTGTGAAATGTAAGCATCATGGTTTCCATGGCATGCTCCATTTGAGATGGCATTTTGAAGATTCTCTTGAAACCTGTTAAAGGACATAAAGAAACAGAATTTGCGTTAGCTTCTAAACCACATGTACTGAAAGTCTGGAGAGGGCAATTGGAAGGGATAAAACAGAAGGTCTAATCACCTCTCCAATAAAAAAAAAAATCAATCTAAGGCCCTGTTTGGAGACTTTTGTTGGTGGCAACAGACATTTCAGGTATTGAATCTCAGAATATGGGTCTACCTGGATGCCAGCTACTCTATATATTCCTAATAAAGAAAAGAAGGTGTAAATTCCTGGAAAAGCAAGAAAAGAGCTGCTCTTTTCAACTGGAAAGCACCAAATGAATGAATACATTCCTTATTTCCCTTGGCAATGAAAATGTAACTCCTAGAAATGGCTGAACACCAACAAGCCACAAGCCCAGCCTTGTTAACATAGACTCAGGAACCTGAACCAGTCTGACTCTAGACTTGCTTGCAGATGGGCCTGCTGGACATGTATACTAGGATTCTGAACTCAGTGTCTAACCATTGTAAACCACAGCTGCTCTGCCTGAGTACACTCCTCACAAAGTTCATTAGCAAGCTCAGCATAGAAGGAGTAATCAGAAGCATGTGCAAACGCCTTTGGCAGCCAGATACATTTTTGGTAGGACTACAAAGAACTGTTCTCCTCACAAGCTGGGGTGCAGCAAAAGAACAAGGGCCTTTCATCAGGAAGAGTTTAAAGAGTGGAAAGAAAATGTTAGGTCATTGTATTCTGGTACAATGAACTGGGGCAGATGTTTTGTCAAGTCCCAGTGCCCAGCATAGCTCAGTGTCCACAGAGAGGCTGAGCACAGATGGTAGTAGAAGCTGGCAACTTCCTCTGCTGAAGGGCAACAACAGAAGCGTGGGGTATGCTTAGTACAGATCCCAAAATTCTGTAACCCACCCCAACACACACACAGCACCCTAGGGCTGTATTCATGCCATGTATGTCTTCCATCACTGAACTCTATGCCTGAGTTCACTTTTTATTTTCAGACAGGTCTAAGTTGCCTAGGCTGCCCTTAGCTTGATATTCTCCTGTCGCTGTCTCCTGAATTGCTGATATTGCAGCTCTGAGCCATTAGGCCTGGCTTTAATACTGTCTTTTACAGAGGAGCACTAAAGAGTTATATTTAAGGATTGTCACTTCTACCTCTTGGCCTCAAAAAATTATAAGAACCAGATACAGAATGCCACTTCTGAGAACACTGTCAATGAAGATCAGGCATGATTCCTGTGTGTGACCTGGATAGCAGCAAGCTTGCCCTTCAAGGTGTAGAGTGCCAGGAAATCCAGGGAAGCCACACCCCTTTTCCTCTCTTCTTTATGGCAGATTATCCCACCTCCCCGATCCCAGCTACCAGGATTCTGGTGGTGGAAGTGGGCTTAGAGGGAGTCTGCCTTGCTTGGATTGACTTGGAAGTGCAGGAATTTAAGAAAACTAAACTGAAATCACTTAAAAGAGAGCACCGCATGCCACCTCAGTCTTTCGATGGTCCAGGAAAGGAACCGGACACCAACGAAGTTTAAATGTGGCCCACATTCAGGGCCACAGAGCTTTTTGACCTCTTCTGAGAGAGAAGAATCCAGGTGACGTCCCAGATGTGAGATCTGGGTGGACACCCACTGAACTTTGCTCACAGTATATTCTTCTCAGCAAAGTATACTGTAGCACCAGAGAAGAGAGAGGAATCGGCAGAATAGGGATCCCCCAAATAATGGGCCAATTTAAGACTCCTAGGAATGCAAGTTGTAAGCCAAAAAGATCCTGGCCTTACTTGAACATCCTCTTCAGGAGGGTGAGGTCAGGCTACCTTAGCTAAGAGCTAAGTGGGGTCAGTCAGGAGGGTGAGGTCAGTCCAATCCTTCCTTACCCAGCTGGTTATGAAGTGAAAATGTTCCTCCCTGAAGCTCCATATCTGCCCTTTGGTCCTCCCTCCCTGACTCCCCTACCTGTTTTATCCCACATACTGGGAAACTGAGCAGCCAACCGACTCCCTGCTTGTTCAAGAGGCCTGCAGTAATAGTAGAGCCTGGCCAGAAAGTGAAAACAGAGCTGAAACTCACAGGATCCCATAGGCACTGACCAGGGCTACATGCAAGGAACTGTCCTGGAGAAAGTTTCAAAGTGAGGCAAAGGATCCAGGTCTGGCAGCCCCAAAAACTATGAACACAGCACTCAGGGGTGGGGTGGGGCTGGGCAGGAGAAACAGGGTAACAGGCCAGTCTGGGTTACATAGACCCTGTCTTAAGAGTCAAAACAACAAACAAACAACAACAAGAAAAAGTAAGAGAAAGGAAAAATGTGGAAAAGTTGTTTTCTTGGATGAATGAATCATGTAGTCCTTCTCTGGCAAAGTGGTCTCTGCCCAAACTCTACTGCATAGATGGGGCTTGCCTTACAGGTTCTCACTACAGCTCTCTAATCAGTTACTCTACTAAAAGCCTTTCAGGAACTTGAATCAAGCAACTTCACTCTAGCTTGGGTGGCCTTTCACTTCTGGTTGGGTAATGCTTTGTCATGAGGACCCTGGGAATTGGTCTGAGAGTCAGGGGAATCTGTTCAGTGTCCTGGACACCACACTCCATACCTGGTCAATTTAGTTAGGTACATGTGTTCATTTTCTGTCCTGACTCTAAAGCTGCCTTGGTCAAGAACAACATTTTATTCTGCTTTAACTGAGAGACCACAATATCACCTTTGTTAAATGAATGTCTCAAAGTAGCTGAGGTACAGATGAGAGTATCTTTAAGCAGTTGACAACTTTGTAGCTCAGCAGCTAGAGGACATGAGTTCTGGGACAGGTAGGGAAAGGGGCCCCAACAGGGCTCACCTATCAACGGAATGGCAGAGCACAGAGAGTACATTCCAGGCACAAGGGAAAAAAAAAAAAATGTGTCCTGCTAAGCAAGTCTGGTCAGATACACACAGGCAGGCTTCTCACCCCTGCTGTTTCTCTTTTGTTCATGACACCTTCCACTGCTTCACTAGCTCTGCAGGATGGACCTAGCTCCTGGCCTATTCACCTCTTATTGAACCATTTTATTTTGCTGTCCGTGTATGCCCTTCACACGTTAGCCTGAGCAATGGGTCTTAACTGTCTCTTTCCCTGAAGAAAACAATTCTGGTTTTTGTTTCTTTAACACCAAGCACCTACGTTGCACATATCACCTAGGGTGGTAAGAACCAACAATGTTCTCATTCTCTCCGTTGGTCTTTCTGGGTGGGGCGGCGGGCAGGAGTCCCTCTTCCTGAGCAATCCCAAATGTCTGCTCTGGACCTATGCCCAGGTCTAGTCTATAAACCTCAGAAGCTGGAAACCTGATTTACTTTGTTCATCTGTATTTTGTCCATATCTTACTTTTCTTGAACCCACCAAGAATTAATGAGGGCGTCAGTGAACACAAACACCTATTATTTTAAAACATTTAGAGTTTCTGTTCTTTAGGAGAATTTGAAGAATATTTTTTTTTTTTCAATTGAACCCAGAGGAGATTCTTAAATCTGACCCTTAAAGTATATTTGGGGGAGGAGTGAGAATTAAAACAATGGATTTGGGCTCAGGCTTTCTCACCAAATAAAACTTGCCTACTATAGACATGGTCTACAAAACAAAGTTCCAGATGCAATTCAATAGGAAGAAAGAACTGAGAAATTTACTTTCACCCAACCAAGAACACCCATTTTTCCATGAGGCACTGTCATGAGTCAGCCAAAACCAACCAACAATAGGTACATTGACAAGTGGAAATTATTTAGTTGAAGGGGCACAAAGTCCTGAAAGTTGTCTTTAATAGTTTCTCCCTCTCTCTCCCCTCCCTCCCTCCTTTCCTCTGTTTGAAGAGGAGTGCTTGTCCTGAAGAACTAGAGCCTCACACATGCTAACCATGTTACTTCCTTTGCTTTTGATTCTGAAGTTGTTGAGTCCTGAAAAAAAAAAGGGAAACTTAAGAGCCCATATTTCAGTCCAGCTATTCCCAGCACTGTGAGCATTAATTTATATTTCATAATTCTGAAAGAATCCCATTGTTTCCCTTAGCTATGCTTAAATGAATGGACTGTGTCCAAGGGCATATCAAATATGTGGTGTTGGGGAGAGGCGTCTTTTTTTTTCTTTTTCTTTTTCTTTTTTTTTTTTTTTTTTTTTTTGAGCTGTCAGTGGAAAGCATGGAAGCAATACAGCCCCACCCAGCCCAAGGCCTAATCACACTGAGAAGACTGCCCAGAGCCTGGCCAGAGACCACGAATAGGAAGACAATAGCCCATCTGATGTTGTATGAAGGAAAAGCCAGGGAACAGCATCACCCAGAAATCAGAATAAACCCAAATAACTGCTCTATGCCAAGCAGGCAAAACAAACAAACAAACAGAAAGCAGTGAGCTGAAATGAAAGCTCTAAGTGCTGGATCAAAGGTTACAGTGAAGAAACTCCTCCCTGGCTTTCAGGAGGCAGACATTGCAAAGGAATCTGTGGGGGAGGGCTGAGGAAGGCAAATGAAATTTCAGTGAGTTACTTGAACTCATTCCTGCTGCAGTTTGCTTGAAACACACTGAAAGCAAAGCTATCTGACAGGGTGTTTCCACCTGACCTGAAATACAACACGTAAAAAATCCACTCCTGGAAGCAAAAAATTCAAGCTTCCTCCGGAGGAAAAAAATTGCAGCACTAAATGCAAAAGTGTTTAGCAGAGAAGCAACTTCCCCAGTGAAGTGGAGGCCTGCTGCTATAGGCTGCCATAGGCCAGTAACCTGATGATAACCTATCAACGGTCTCAGCACGGCCCTGCCAGTCTAATTACTATCCTCCCAGGCAGCTCAGTCGAGAAGCCACTCCTGCAGATTGGTGGCCAGTTAGAGTGTGACTCACTTCCTCTTGGAAAATGCCCTGGAAGATGGCACAGTTCCTCTTTTCCTTCAGGGAGTGATCTGTTCATACCATCCGAGGGAGTATCTGCAGCCAGCTCGGCCACACCCATAGTCTCAGCTGAGTCACAGGCCTCAGATCACCAGGAGAATCCAGGAACCCTTTGTGCTAACCCCACCCTGAAAACTGTGTCTAAGCTTCCCTGGGTTGCGGGTAGAGACTGAAGGGAGGTAGGTTTTAGTGAATTTCAGAATTTGCCTCTGGGCTCTTCGCTGGCCTGTTACATTTCTGTTTACCTCGCCACTCTCTCCAGAGCCCTCCCAAAGAGGTCATCTCTGTGGCCAAGCTCAGGCCAGGAAGCAGGTACCTCCTCCTCATTGCACCACATCAAATTAATCTGGGACTGAAGATCCCTCACCAAGTCTGCTGTCACTCCACCTCTTTCTAGTTCCCTTTATTTAACTCAAGCAGCAAGAGGGAAACTTGTTAGAGAGAAATCACCTCACTCCCTCTCACCCCAGCACCTCTTTATAAAGACAACAAATCGCAGGTCCTGCCTTAAAGATCCTTCCCAACCTACCTACAACTTGCACTGGGGCTAAGGCATCTAGCAGAGCAGGATCCTTTAGAAGGGGAATCCTCCAACTGCAAAGCCGCCAGTTCTTCCTGGCCCAAAGCAGCTCAGGCAGCCTGGTTGGGCGGAGGCTAAGAACATCTGGACTCAGGTCTGCCTGCAGCCCAAGGCAGCAAGGAACATTCCAGCTGGGACAGAGCGAGTTCTGCTAAACTCTAGTTAACTCTTAAGACTAGTTGCAAAGCAGAAAGGGTGAAAGTGAAGAGCCACATGCCTTAAGGGAACTCAGAGAAGCAGCCGCCCCAAATGCCAAGGTGGGGTGGCCTCCTCCGCCCCAGCGGTTCTGGGGGCGTTGGAGGATGGCCCCACCCAAGGCAACGGGACAATGCACCTCGCCAAGCCCGGCTAGAGGCCTAAGCAAGAGGGTTTGGGGTTCCCCAATGACAGATGCGAGGTGCTGAACTCACCTGGGCCCCGAGGCGCAGCAGTGCTTGAAAGAGCTAGGCACACAGCGGTGAGGCCAGCACCGAAGACCGCGGGTCTTTGTAAGCGGGGCGGGTACAGAGGGCGGAGGCACCCCGGAGCGGGAGGAGCCTGGAGGTCAGGCAGCCGCGCTCCCCACCCTCCCCCGCCCCTCCCTTCCTGCCCCCCAACCCGCGGCGTTCCCCACCCGCCCCCGCCCCTCCCTGCCGGCCCCACAACCCGCCCCAGGGCGCGCCGCTCTCTCCTCCCCTCTCTCTTCTCCTCCCTCTCTCTCTTCTTCCTTCTTTCCCTTCCTCCCTCTCCCAAAACAACACACACACACACACACACACACACACACACACACACACACACACACACACACACACACACACACACACACACGCTGTACCTTTTCACTCTATGGACAGACTAACCTCGCCAGTCCCCAGGGACAGTGCTATTGTAAACGTCCCTGCGAGCTGAAATGCTCTTAGTCATTCCCACCCAGGGCAGTGCCCTTCCTCTCGGGTTTGGTTTTAGAAAGTGGGTGAGTATAGAAATATGAATCCAGCTGTCCCGCAGGCAGGCAGGGCACACCGGCCCAGAACTAGAGCCAAGAGCCTCTGCCGGAACTTACTTACAGTTTAGGAATCATTTTCTAGACAAGGAGGAATGCTCTGAGCGGCTCTCAGCTTGGGCCACCTACTTTGCTCTAGGATCTACCTGGGGTCTCCTGTGTTGAGTGCAGAAGCTAGGCCCCCGCGCTCCTGCCTAGCTTTGTCACTCAGTGGTGAGGGCACATGCTGGTCAGCTTCAGGGGGTCTCAGATCTCTTGAACCAGGGTTCACCTTTCCTAGTTCAGCTTGTTTCGCTTGCTAGATAGTTGAGTTTCAGTTGTGGCCAATATTGCTAAAACCTGTTTCAGAGCCTCCTTCTTGAATCTATTTGGCCCTAAAAAGCTGTTTGGAAGACATTTCTGGAAGGTATTTAGAGAAAACCGAAATGTCTCCTGACGATCCCCCCGACCCGCACACTTATTTGTGGTTTGGGTTTAAATGCAGACTACTCACAGCTATTGGTGAGACAGCACAGTATGTGATACTGGGGTTTCCCCTGTCACCAGGGGAAGTCCTGGGAGGAATGAGAGATTCCAAAGGAATGAACAGAACAGGGCTCTTCCAAGTGCCACTATGTGACAGTCTTGGAGTGATGGGGGTGGGGAGAATCCCACGTGGGTCAGCTCTCTTTTCTCTGGGGTCTCTGAAACCTCAGACTGGCTCTCCAAAGAGCCAGTTCTTCCAAATTATCCTACAGGCCTCTGAGGCCCCAGGTTACCCGGACCAGTGGAGGAAATCCTGCCCCTTCCTTTTGGTCTCAGGAAAGACGCAATTGGATTTATAATATCTCTACTCACTGGCTTTCTTCAGCTGGGCCACAGGCCTTAGAAAGTTTAGTGTGTGTGAGGCCCTGGGGATTCACAGAGGGGAAACCAACTGATCTCTTCTCTCAAAGGGCTCCAACGTTTCTGGGGAGATAGTAAGCATAATTCCCCGTGATTGGTGAGCAGGACAGGAGTGTTGGACAGGGGCTTCCAAGGCCCCTGAGTGAGCGACAATCTGATTCATGGAGAAAGCAACATTTGATAAGAACTCAAAAAATAACTTGTCATTGTAACTCTTTAATCTTGAAAAATTTTACAACCTTTTAAAAATGCCTATGGGTGCTCATGTGTCTGAATGGTTTTGTTTGTTTGTTTTTAGTTAAGGGCCTCCACGTGCACATGTGCCGGAGCACATATGTGGAGTTTTCAGGAGCAGGTTTCTTCCTGGTACTGTGGGATCTGGAAATTGAACTCAGGTCATAAGGTTTGCACAGCAGGCACTTTTACTCTCTGAACCACTGCTGACCCAAACATCATATTCTTTTTGTCGAGGGCTTGGAAAACATAGCAACTAAAACAACAAATAATTATTTGTAAATGCATAGACCAAAGAATAAACATTTTCATGTATTCCTTGCTAGTCTTATGCATATATTTACATAATTATAATTATACTGATTTAAAAAAAAATAGTGGTATTCTTTTTTTTTTTGTTCCACAATATTCATTCTCTCTCCAACCCCTCTGTTTTTGAGGTGCTGGGGATTGAACCCAGGGCTTCTCACATGCTAGGGAAGCCCTTTACCCCTGAGTTACATCTCTAGCCCACTTTTGCTTTTTGTGTGTGTTGCTCTCTGTCAAGACACCGTGTTCACTCACTCATTTCCCTCTTCTCATTCATTTAATAGCTGTTTTTTCCTTCAGTCTGCTGGCAGAAAGGTGGGCTTCTGGAGCCCTAGTGGGCACGGCCCTACAAAGATTCTGAGATTTTGAAACACTGTGTGAATGCTGAGGGTACATGCTGAACAGAGCCAGCAGGATGGACACTAACTCTAGCACATGCTCTCTCAGTAACACCCCATGAAGCTTCTTAGATGTTCTGTGTACTGATAGGTTCACGAAGCTTGCAACGCTTGAAGAAATCTTTAGGAGGGTGGGTGTGGTGGCACATGTTTGTAATCCTAGCACTTGTGAGGCAAGAAGATTGTACATTTGAGGCCAGCCTGGGCTACACAGTGAGGCAGCCAAAAACAAACCAAAACCAAAACCCTCCTCTCCAGGAAAAGCCATCCCTGCCAAGTTCTTTCTGCAGGAAACAGTTATGCCTTATCAACCACATGGATAAAGTGAAGCCAGCCCTGCCTCCCTCATAACTGTTGACTGTAATGAAACTAGCTCCTGAGCTGGAGCTGCTCTGTGAAGGATGATGTTGGAGCAGGCAATGAAGGGGATATGTGCAGAGAGCAGCAAACTGAATGGCACTGGAGGAACCGGAACTCTATGTAGTGTGGTCCCTGGAATGAGGAGGAATACAAGTTGTCCACCAGGGACTTCCAGTGTGAAGAATGCTAGCAGGAGAGTTGCTCTATTGGTAATCCATTACTAGAGATTCCTCTTTTTCCATGAGGCAAAGCAATACAACCCTGTTACCAGTGGTGATCAGTTTCTCTTCCACGGGATACTGTTTCTGGGAAGCAGCTGCTCAGCCAGGGATTAAGTCTCTAGCACTTCTTACATCCAACTGGGACTATGTGACTAGTCATCCATAGAATGTGATTGCAAGTGATGTGAGTCATTTCCAGATTCAGGCAGCAAAGGTGATTTTCCCATGTTTCTGTTTATGTCTGCCAGGACTTCCATGGTCTAGAGGTAGAAGAACCATAGCTGGGAGAACTTAGGTCCACAAATCAACATATAGCAGAAAATTACTTGTTGACTAAAAACTCATCACTGGGTAAAAAAGGCCCAAGAATTAGTGGGTTTATTTGCTACAACGTAGCCTGTGTGAGTAGGTGGCATTCTTTCCAGTGCTAGTATTTGGGGCAGCACAAGGTCACTGACCAATCTGTCCTAGACTCTGATGGGGTGAAGTGTTCGTAGGTCCTGGAAATAAGACTGTTTGTAGCAGTTTGTGCCCTGTACCACGCAGAAACCTGTAGAGCCCAGATAAGCATTCTGTCTACCCAGATTCTAGGTAAGCATAAATCATAGCCGAAGAAACTTTATTGGTCAATTTCAGTGCCCTTGGAGGTGTCACAACAGTCCTGCAGGGCCCTTCAGTTACACTGATTTGGCCAACACTTTTTTTTTTCTTTTCTTCTTCTTCATCTTTTTTTTTTTTTCTGGCAATACAAAAGGAAAAGAAGAGAAACCGATCTAAATAAATATGACTGTATTAGCTTGCCCAGAATAGTGAAAGTTGAACATTTAGGGTTTTTTTCTAATTGTTATATTATTATAAATAATAAATCAAATGACATAAAAGGACTCATTTTGAACAGCTATCTTTGTCCACATGCTTGTTTTACATGGACTCCTGCAAGGAAATTTTTTTTCTGAATTTGCTTATGTGGTTCTTAAAGGACCAATAGCAAACAGGCACTTTGGTGGGAGGATGGAGGTAGATGAGAGGAAAAACCAGCTGTTGGTCTGGACTCAGGAGTGTACTGATTCCAGGAACTGCCCCAGAGGCGTGGGGAAAATGCAAAGTCTTTAAAGCTCAGGGTGCTGATACTGGTGCCTCCATTGACACCTGCTTAGTAAGTGGGAGCTTGTGTCTAAGGTAATGAGCCGCAGCTGAAGAATGTAAACAGGAAGTGAGCAGCTCTCCTAGGCTCTAGGCACATCACCACAGCCAGCCAGCATTTCCTTGCTGGTAAGATGTGCTGGATTCATCTCTTATTGTGCATGGAAAGACCGAGCTATCTAATGAGCATGAAGTTGTCCATCTCAGTCTCCTCACGTCCTACCTCTTCTGTGTGATCTTCTACTTTGCATGGAAAGTAGCTTTAGAAAAAGCCACTACCAAAGGTGTTTGCCACTACCAAAGGTGAGTAGAGGACTCAGTCAAGGCTACATAACTTTTCTCTGTCTAAAAGTGGCAGAATTCAAAAGACTAGTGCTTTGTTTTCCCACAGAAGTTTCCCCATTAAAAAGAGGTTTATTTTTGATGTGTATGTACGTGCTCCATTATGAGGGTATGCCATATGTGTGAAGGCTCCTGCACAGGCCACAAAAGGATGTTGGTTCCCTGGAGCTGGAGTTACAGGCAGTTGTGAGTCACTTGATGTGGGTGCTGTGAATTGAACTTGTGTACTCTGAAAGAGCAACAATATCTATTAACTCTGAGACATGTCGCCAGTCCTACAGAAGTCCTCTTAGCTCGGGTTGGAAATCACCACTTCCTTCTGTAGGAAAGATGCAAATGCCAATGGATATACTACATCAAATATTTCCTGAGTGACTTATCAATTCCACAGTGATTTGGCTACTGGAAATATGCCAATGACCAAGACAGAAAATCTCTGACCTAATGAGCTGTGCTAGTTTTATGTCAGCTTGACAGAAACTAGCAAATTTCTGAGAAGAGGGAATCTCAACTAAGACTATGCCTCCATAAGACCTGGCGGCTGGCAAGCCTTTAGGGCTTGTTCTTAATTAGTGATTGTTGGGGGAGGGCTAAGGTAGATGGTGCCACCTCTGGGCTGATGGTCCTTGGT